CTCCTACCATGTGTAAACAAACAATACAGCCATCCAAGGAAGCTCCCCAACTTCGACAGCGCTCCTACTACGTTTAAGCAAGCAAGACAGCCAACCCAAGCAAGATATCTCACCCTCGACTACACAACTGCCACATTTAAACGGAGTGTTCCACATTTGCATGGGGTTTATGGGGTTTGACCTGATAGCCATCTTGAACATCATTCGGTTCAGTTCGCAGTCCGTCCTGGCCTTCTTAAAACCAAAACCCCTCTAGTTTCTGAGCTACACGCCGGTAAATGTATGTAGCTTTTAGGGGGGACTATTTATTGGTTACTCAGGCATCCATGACGCCATAGTGCCATTCAAATCCTGCCATTTCATAAGCCATACGGCGAGCAAGACCAAAAAAATGTATATCAAAGCGTTCATATCTGACGTTCGTGAGCACGATTTCTAATATATATATATATATATATATATATATATATATATATATTCTATATATATCTATGTATCTATTATATCTATATATTATTTCTAGATATCACGGCTGCCAATCGGCTCTCAATCAATGTTGAGCAAGGTGTGATGACGTAATTAAACAACTACTTAATTGGAAACATATTACTAAACAGAGAAGTGCCGTTGTCTAGAGCAGTCGTTTCCACTTAAATGTATACCAGTGTTTATAAGTGATTTATTTCATAATATTTGATGCTTGCTGCAATATCTTCAAATGTGGAACATTCTCTAAACAAACAGTGTAGCTAATCCAAGGAAGGGCATCCCGCCTGCGACTACACCCATACCATAGTAAGACAAAGCATGCTTGCCTCGAATGTGCGACATAAATGGCGTAGGGGGTCGGAACACTTTGTAAGCAAAAGCTGTGTTTGTCCTTTGCACCCACCAACCAAATGGGCTTTCCTGTTCAGTCGCTGCCGTGAGCCCGGCCGTACGCCAGACAGGCTGCGGGGGGGGGGGGGGGGGAAGCAGTGTGCCCAACACGGCCGCTCCGGGCCAGGTGGGTCATCGCTGTTGTGGTGCCTCATCTGGCTTTTCCACGCCAGCCGGAGAAACTACTGCGCATGCGCCAGAACTCTGACCCGGCACCGCCACAGCGCGAGCCTAGCGTTGTCTCCAGACTATGAGAACCGCAGGCGATGGCAGGTACATACGTGTCAGTGCGCACACCGCCACAGGGGCGTGTACACATTACACCTCCGGGTCGACATCCCCCCCCCCTCCTTAAAACCGCCCCAGGGGCGAACACACATGGTACCTTCGGGAGGACCCCCCTTCCCCCCCCCCTCCAACCTGCTTACCAAAATGATGGCCCGTGTTGAACACGCGTTCGGGAGAGGGCCAATTTGTCCGCCCTCTAAACACTTTTTCAAAACGACTTCTTAACCACGCTGTGCAGCCACGCTAAAGCTGCCAAATGTGTAGGCAATTAAATGATCGATCTTTTGGTAAACAAAATTAGACTGTACCTGCATGGCCGCTGACCTACGGCAGGTCAAAGTCAGGCCATGCCTATGCCAGGCGGAGAAGGTAATTCCCAGGGAATCCTTCCATGTGATACAACGGAGTGTTACATGAAGTCATGCAACTTTGACATGACCTGATATGAACACAAGCAGCAGTTCACTTATCAGAGGTAACTAGGCTAAGGCTGAGGGCGTAGAGACATCTGATCACACTTCAGATACCCATCTGAAGTTTGGACATGTCTGACCTTATGTGGCTCGAGGGTTACGACATAATGGCCCCCTAATTTAAGACAAGTGAATTTACATAGAGCCCATTCCCTGTGAATCTATTGCCTAGTTTTCTGTTTGTTTTGTTATCTTAGATAGGTCAAACTGACGCACCCAACCGAGCTTGTCGCATTTAACCGGCCACCTAGGCACGTGTCCATGCGTGCAAACGTGAATAAATGTTGACACGGGGAAGTTCCAGGTAGACTCGTAAAATAAGACGATTAAGATCATGCCATGCTGTTTCATGACACGCCACAAATATTGCAACCACCGCCGCCCCGAGGTAACACGTGCCAGCAGAGATTGCAAAGGCTGCGGTGGTCTACAGCTAGTTGTGGATGCTAACAATTCAGCGTGCATACGCCAAACTTCCACTCGTCGTCGCCATTGAGGCCTTATGGCGCACCAAGCCCCGGCGCTGGAGGGCGTTGCCCGCCGCCGATGTCAGGAAGGGAGCACACCGCGAGCATCGGTGCCCATGCTCATGCTTCCCCGGACGCGCCGCTTAACCGCTACACCGGCCGCACCCGTCTAAAAATCTTCATTAATGTATACCATGCAGGACACCCCCCCCCCCCTGGCCAGCCGCGGATCTCCAGCGCCGTTCCTCGCCATTCAGCTGGGTATCTGCGGCCGCTGACGTCCAGCAAACGAGCCTTTCTTGAGCCGCGCTGGGTGCTGGTGTTAGTAGCGTTGGTGCTTATATGCTGCTGAGATTACCCTTGTATGAGACACAAACTGGAACCGAATGCCGAGCAATATCAAAAGCCGCGATCCACCATCCTTGGTTTGCTTGAAGTTGGTGCAAAAAAGCGGCATAGTACAAAAAGAAGAAGAGATGCCCAAATCAGCGCACAAAAACTGTTCTTGTGTCTTTCATTTTATCATGTGATGCAGAACAAATCTAGGTTATCTAGTCAATACCGTAGTGCGCGAAATCTAGTAGCAGTAGTGTCTAGTCAATAACGTAGTGTACGAAATCGCATGCAGGCTTTGAGAAACAAAAGGCTTAGTCGAGTTTTTAAGCAGGTGTCAGCGAGATGGTGAGGAGAGTGTGAGCTTACACGCGTTTGGAGATGTGTTTGGATGAAAGAGGAAAAGCTTGCGATGCGTGGCTGGCTTGAGGATGAAAGCTCGTTGTTAATTTTGGATTGTATAATATTCTAAAGGCTCATTGGCACGCAGTTCATCACATTTGTTCTTACTACCATGTTTACAACCATTCCAAACAACTTCCGCATCCTGAAACGTAAGACAAAGCTGAAAATCTTACCTCGGTCGCTTCTTGCAGCAGAGCTAGGAAAACAGCCGTCTTACCTCCGCCGTTCTTGTAGCAGAGGTAGGGGAAGCGCCAAACGTTGCCAAGGCCGACGCAGAAGCCCCACATCAGAGAGCACGAACTCGGCGTTGTTCGCCCACGTCTCGCGCTGCCGGTATTCAGGCCCGCCAGCCTCTTCTTGCCGGTGCGGATTTTTGGGGCGATGCCTGAGTCCCCCAGAAGGGCGGTGACGTCACTGGATCACGGTCCAGCATGGCGGGCGGCTCTGTTCCCAGCTCTGGGGAAGGGGCGAGGGGTCACGCGGTAGCCGGACAGCGACTCAGAAGGCTGCGCCGAAGGCCATGGTGGTGCTGGTGGTGGTGTAGTGGTGGTGCTGGTGGTGGTGTTAGTGGTGGTGCTGGTGGGGTTCTGGTCAGCTCCTGTCGGCGTGTGACTCCAGGACCATGCAGTTCCTCCACACGGCCGTGGAAGGTGCATTTGTAAACGTCTTGTGAGCAAATCGTACGCTGGCAGGCTCTACTTCGTAACACATGCCTGCGGACGATATCACGTCACTGGTTGCGCGCGGCGAGTGACACAACAGGAGCATTCCCTCATCACATGGAAATAGAGTGATATGATTTTGATAGGCAAATGTTTGCTCTGCGCTTTTAAGCGAATTCCATAACTTCCCACTCAGCATTATCATGATGGCCTCGAGTGCCTGTGATATACGACAAAACACATGTGCGACAAGAAATGATTCCGGAGATGGAACTATTGGTCGGCTTTTGAGCCACGCTTTAGCTAAGCCCAAACGCCTTCATAATCGCCTCGCAAACGAAATGCGAAACCGACCGTGGCGATCACTCTAATGCTGGGCTACCAGGTGACGTAGCGCAAGGTCTCGCACAGGATGGGGCCATATCGGGCAATATGGACCCTTTGCAGCAAATGAGGCCCTCTTTGCCGGTATGGCTGGCCTTTAGTGGGATCTGGAGCACATCACTAGGCACAAGCCTCGATAGCTGAGCTGGTCAGAGGGCCTGCCTTCCGATCCACCCACTCGTGGCGGGGTGGGTCCGAGTCATTTATGTTACAGATATAGTTTGTGGCCGGTGGCAGCAGCCCGCACTTAAGGTCATGTGACGTCAGAGAGCAGGGCGAGCCATGCCAAGCATTACGGCAAGATAGACCTTCGCCATCAAATTCTGCCGTTGACCTGAGCTTGCACGATCGGACTGCAGGGGTCAGGGGTCAGGGCTCGGTCGGAGTCAGGGTTACTCCGGATAAAGTCTCAAAAACAAGAGCCCATTGTTGTAGTTTTACAAAGGGATTGCCATTGGTCAATCCTTTAGATTTCAGGTAAGATTTGGTTTTGCTGCCTCTGGGACCATTTGATTTTTTACGGGGCTACGGACATCTGAAACATACAAAATAACGAACAATGCATTTACGGAAATCCTCGGTCTTAGTCAGTCCGCCCGCATTCCAGGGGGCATGTTACCAAAACTCCTACTTGTTTGTTGTTTTTGTTGTTATTTTCGCTTTCGGTAGAAAGTCAGTCAGCGATACGAATGCAATGAATAATTGACACCAACCAACCATACTTAGAAGAGCCGTCGCAAAATGACAAGACCAAACTGAAACTGTACCTGCGGGCAACCTGTAGCTTGCTTCAGCGCAGTCTCAATTTGTGAGGCACTTCCAGAAGTGCTAAGGACGTTTTAAGCTATCAAAGAGCACTAACACTACACACTAGAACACTAGAACCTTCGGTCCCAGAGGTTCCACCATCACCAGGAACGTGGTGGCTCCACAACCTCCCTGTTGGCTACGCCAGTGGGATTGTGTTAAAGATGTACTCCCGTCATTTTCGTTTCAGTACAAAGTGACACGGCAGCAGTTGCACATAACCCCAACAGTCGCGCATAACCCCAGCAGTCGCACATAACAAGATGTTCTTTGCAGGCACGTGATGCTGTGGCTTAACGCCGTCCGATATCCACCATTACCGCAGCGCCCCACTGAGGGTAATGACAGCGCTCTTCCAGCGCGTGCTACGAAGTGGGGCCACAAAACCGGGCCCCGCACTGTATCAGTCATCAAACCACACGGAATAATATCAACATTAGACAAACAAAAGGCGTGGAACAAGTCACCAATAGCACCTCGAGACGAAAGGTGTCGAATGGATTTAACGCTTTTGGAATACCAAGCATTTGGAAGTTTGTAATTTGCAAATTGGGCGAAACGGTGAGCAAAATATATGAAGTGTTATGGGCAGCCAATATCACTCTGCCGTTTCGCAAATTGGTATGAACCGCATTTTGTGAACTCTGTTTCTTTTCATAACAACTTGATTCTGGAACATAAATGTCGTTGGTAGAGCACGCTAGAAAATACTTATTTTCCAAACATGAGATGAAACCCTCATCGTATACACCGCCGCTCATTAAGCGATGGGATTCGGTTGCTGTCCACTCACGATTTAGACGAGATGGACGATCCGTTGCCATTCATCCTCCGACTAAGCTACTGTCGTCGAGCTTAGTGATCATCAAGCTTACCTGGCAGCAATGTATATTGTGGAAATTGGGGATTCATGAAAGTCTGCGATATACATTGTTTATCCATGGTCATTTGTTTCTGTTCCGTCGATTTGAATGAGGGAATGCAGCGACGTGATCAAGCGACTGGATTTCTTGGTTGTAGGTCGAAGTTAATGATATTTCAAAGGTTAAAAAAAAGAATCCACATCCTTCATTTTTTGGTAATTTTAGACGGGCAGCTGGCTCATTCTTGGACTTTGGATTGTACTGTGGACACGAACATCCAGAAAACAGCACCTCTGGTCGGGACACATGGTTGTAAAATATAGCGGAGACCTTAACTACATCCCGGAAGCCCAGCCGGGGCGCCGCTCCTGGGCCGCCACTGCCGTGTCGAACACGCCACTGCGTCCCACCTGTGACGATCGGCCGAGAGGGCGCGGTCGCGACGGGCGGGTGCTGCCGCGCCTCGGCTGCCGCACGTGTCACGGACGGGCGCCTGGCCTGGCCTGGTGAGGGCTGTCTCCGCTGACCGGGCCGCTCCGGCGCCTCGCTCACCGCCCACGTCACGCGGGATCGTCACCAGCGGGAAGCGGCCGCTGGGTGCGCCGGCTTCCCATTGGACCGGCCCTCCCAGCCCTCTCATTGCCGGAGTGGGAGGGGGGGGGGGGGGGCAGGAAGAGGCTGATGATGGAACCCAGAGCCCTGTCATAAGCAGCGGGGAGCGCCACGCCAGGGGCGGAAACAAGAGGCGTTTTCTTGGGGTAGCGAGGGAGGGAGGCGTGGGTGGCTTGTAACCCGCCTTCTCTCGAGCTGTCCGCATAATGAGGCGGCGGCAACCAGTCGGCCCGAGGGACCACTTCTGAGAGAGCTCCGGCACTCTGAGAAGTCCCAGAGCGCGAGGGCTCGCGCGGGGTGCACTGTTTCAGCGAAGCTAAAGCGTGTGTCATCGTGACATCGCTGGCAGTTTCAGACCTACATCAGTTTTGCCTATACCGTCCAGAATGCGTAAAAAGGTCGGGTACATGCAGCTTTTGTCCCACCTCGCTGCCCATGATCTTTGAGTTCGATGGCAGTACGCTCACAGACCTTACCACTCAACACAGGTCGCCCTAATGGATTCCGTTGGGTCAGCGGCTATGTCGCATCGGCGTTTGGTGCGCTGTCGCCACCACCTCCATTGATCTAAGCCATGCATTTGGTAGGGTCGACCATGGCGCCCTTCTGACAAGGCTGCAGTGGTGCAGCATCGATCCGAAGTGCCTTGAGAGCTACCTCGCTGGTCGGCGGCAGGTGTTCAGAGGCGGCTCCTCGGTCGGCCCTATCCTCTTCAGCATCTTCACGAACGACCCTAACGTCTTACCTCCCTCAAGGACGTCTAGAGTCCTATTGCCGACAATACCCGACTGTTAGATTCCGCTCACCCATGCTAACTATCCGTTTTTTGAAATCCCGACAGTGACATCGCGGGACACAAATTAAGACCTTTGCCGCTGGTGAGATTGCTGGGGGTTACTGCTGAAAGCACCCTTTCCTGGGAGATGCACATATTCCATGTCGTCAAAAGTGCAACGCCATCCTTCTCTATTTGCCTAAAATTCGTCACCACCTTACGCCCGAAGTTCACAAACTTCTCATCCAGTCTCACATTTTTCCTTCATCTGTACTGCCTCTCGATCTAGGGTGGGGCTGTTGCGTGTCACGTTGCAGCGCAAAGGGGTGATAAACTCCAGGGTCAGGATCGTCACCGATGCTCGTCGGCGAAGTACAATGGCGGTGGCTGTTCAAGCGCTGGGCTGGTGCGGTGTTAATGACCTTGTCACCCACCGTAGCAGCCTGGGCCGCATTCATGGTCTTCCATGATGGTGGCGATCTGGTCCCCTGTTGACCCTGCGTACCGCTGTATGCCAGCGTGCCACCTGAGCGGTGGCAGCGAGCGCCCTTGATCTGCCAGCTCCTCGCCTGTCGGTGGCACGGAGGGCTTTTTTTGTATTGTTCGGTCTCATGCTGAAGCCGCCTGCCGCCGAGCATCACCGCCTCTCGCATCGGCAGTGACCGAGCAGTGACCGATTATCACCGCATCTCGCATCGGCAGTGACCGAGCAGTGACCGAGCACCACCGCATCTCGCATTGGCAGTGACCGAGCAGTGACCGAGCATGACGCAGTGACCGAGCATCACCGCTTCCCGCATCGACAGTGACCGAACAGTGACCGAGCATAACCCAGTGACCAAGCATCACCGCCTCCCGCATCGACAGTGACTGAGCAGTGACCGAACATGACGCAGTGACCCGAGCATCACCGCCTCCCGCATCGACAGTGACCGAACAGTGACCGAGCATGACACAGTGACCGAGCATGACCCAGTGACCGAGCATCACCGCCTCCCGCACCGGAAGTGAGTTTCTCACCAGGCCAGAGGACTTAGACGGCTCCGATACGCCTTCACTGCTTTCTCGCCGTTGTGTAACATGTGTTGACGATTTTAAAATTTCATAACTGGTTTTGTTTCTAGGACAGTAGCAGCAGCCTTCTTCCTCGGAGAAAAACCAGGGGAGTGGAGAAATAGATGGGT